ATATGTAATAAATATTAAACACAAAGAACATTAACCAACAACTATTGATTTAAGTGGTAAGTAGCTTTATTCTCCTTAACCAGAGGTTTTGAGTTCGAGTCTTGAAATTATAAAAATAATCTTGGGAGAGTCGTAAAAAAAAAAAACACAAACAACATAGGATTTGGTTTTAATATTACACATGTGAAATATAATAAAATGATTTTATTAAAATACCTTGCATTATTTTTTTCAAAACCCAAAACAATATCATTTTGATATTACTTTATCTCATATTATAGAATAAACATTAATTTTAATAATTACTAAACTCAAAGAGTGTTGAACTAATTATTTTAATTGAAAAAAAAGAAGACAACAACTTTTGTAGGATTTAATTTTAATACTACATATATAATATACACTAATAAAAAATACAATTTTTTCAACGGAAAAATTCCGTAAAAAATGAAGTGGTCGAAAATATCTTTTCGTGGGTAACAATTTTTTTTATGGAATTAGATATTCCGTCGAAAATTATAGACGGAATTAATTTCTGTAGATAATTTTTGACGGAATAATTTCTGTGAAAAGTTTCGATGGAAAAATAATTTTGTCAAAAAATTTCGACGAAAAAATGAAAGAAATTTAGTTGAAAAATCTTGTATTAGTTTTCGATGGAAAATAAATTCCATCAAAATTTTTTGACGGTAAATAAATAAAATTTCGTCAAAAAATCTTATATTAATTTTTGAAAGAAAACAAATTCCGTCGAAATTTTTTGACGAAAAATGAATGAAATTCTATACAAAAATATTGTATTAATTTTTGACAGAAAATAAAAATATATGTATACACAGGTTTGTTTGTTCGAGGGACATAATTTAATGTAAACACAACAACCTGAACTAACTTCTTGTTAAATAACCAATGTGAATCATAATTTAATTTTTTTTACAAGAACAATAATTTAATTTTTAGTTGATTAGTCAATTTTGTTAGAATTTTAAAATCATAATTATTAATTAGATGTTTGACTTTTTAACCTATTATAAATTCCATCGAAAAGGCTTATTGTGGTCATGTCGTTTCTTTTATCGGAGAGTTCATTTACCTTAGGAGGTTAGAAGACTTAAAATCGCGCGCGGATGATGATATCAAAATTTAAACTGAGTAAAGTAATTGCTGAAAAGATTTCTATAGAGATGTCATCAAAGCTTTAACTTGAAAAATAAAATAAAAAATGCTACAAGTCTATAATTTCGACTAGAAATCTGGTATTCAGATGGATGACCAATCTTAATAAAATATTCAAATTTAGAGATTTCGTTGTAAATGTATCTGATATCTTCATTCATTTAATTCGGACATAGACTTGAAGAAGTAAAGTTAAAGGAAAATACTAAGTTTTGTCTGATAAAAAGTCGTAGATAAAGCGCACCAAGACGTAAAAAATTCTTAGCTAAAAAGAAAATGCTTAGAAAACATTTTAAATCTTTTAAATTTTATGACAAAATTATCACATCATAGTGATCACAAAGTGATTGAAACAATCTACCATGCGGATTCAGAAAATTATATGACGAGGGGCAAAAATGTTAGTTTTGGTGGAATAATCACGCTAAGAATACAAAAATACTTATTAAGAAGAACTTAATAAAATTACATAATTTTTTTGGTTGAACTATCAATTTTTTGCTTTCGGTGACAATGGTCCAATGCATCTTCTATTTCAAAGAGGAACTAACCTTAATACCCTATATTTTGTTTGTAAGATCAAATTTTTATTGCTTATCTTCATGCCTTCTGGTGTTATAATTGCACTTTCTTTAATTTCATCATAATCTTATTTTCTCACTTAGTTGTTATTTAGCAGAAGACACAATAAATTAATTAATGTGTTATTTATTTTTAGTATTTGGTCACAACTAATAATTAATAACTATTACTGACCTTTTTTCTTTGTAAATAAAGTCAAAACTTAAATACTCTTCTCCTGAGTTCTAACATGACAATCTGTACAAATTTTTAGTGATTATAAAAAAAAATTAGATAATCAATCATATTAAATCAAATTATAGACAAATTTGACAGGTAGAGTGAATATGCATTTCTAACTGAACTCTTTTTTGTATATAACTGAAAAGCTGGCACATTGATTGGGGAGGTAGCAGACCAAGAACAAAATCTGCCATATATGATGACAGGTTGAATCTGGTAAATAATAGTTATCTCTAATTGGATGCAATGAACGGGTGGAACATTTTTCTTATCGCTTGTTTTTTATTTTTTAAAAGCAATTTCAAATTTTGCTTTTTCAGACCATATTACATATCATATAGTAAAACATATTTTCATATTTTAGGAGGGGGAGGGGGCTAGCCCCCCATGTAGGTCTGCCCCTACTCATATATTATATAATATCTTTCATGTTGTAGAAAATGATATTATCTCATATACACATATAAAAGTGTATTAGGCCTATATTTTCTTTTTCTTTCTCTTCTCCACAGATTTTTATGTGTATGCATGAGATAAAAATTTTTTTGATAAAATATATGAGATAATTTTATCTTCTAAGAAACATCAAACTCATTATATATACGGGTTTAATGTATCTCCAGTCAAAGGAGATAACTTATCTCCAGTGGCTCAAAATGATGTCGTTTTGATTAAATAAAATGTATTTTTGTAATTCTAATTTATTCTAGGGTTATATTAGTCTTTATCATTATAGTTTTTAATCTTCTAACCCCAAAACGATGTCTTTTTAGGCTCTGTGGAACTTTATCTCCAGTCACTCTGAAGAAACATTGAACCCATTATATATATACATATATATATGTATATATATATGAGTTAAACATTTCTACAACCACTTCAGATAAGGTTGTCTAAAGCTATCCTTTTTTAACTAAGTATGACCAGTAAGACATAAAAATTGTATTTTCTCTCTCCGCCACGTCAACTGACATTGTATAAGGAGAGAGAGAGAAAAAGAACAGTTTTATTGTTATAACTATGTCTTACTAGTTAGACTTAGTTAAAAAGGAGTAGCTGTAGAAATACTTATATATGTAGAAAAAGTATTTCTACAGCCACTTAGATAAGGTTGTCTACAACTACATTTTTTTCACTAAGTACGACCGGTCGTACTTAGTTATAACAATAAAACTGTTCTTTTTTTCTCTTTCCTCAGACATTGTCTGCTGACGTGGCGGAGAGAGAAAATACAATTTTAATGTACGACCGGTCGTACTTAGTGAAATAAGGGTAGCTGTAGACAACCTTATCTAAAGTGGTTGCAGAAATGTTTTCTCTCTCTCTCTCTCTCTCTCTCTATATATATATATATATATATATATATATATATATATATATATATATATATATAGAGGTAGGATCTTTTGACACCGGTGTCAAATTTTAATTTTGACACCTCAATTGAGAGCCGTTAGATCAAAAAATATCAATGGTATCACATGCTTGCAAATCAGAGTCGTTGATCTTTTTTGATATAAGGCTCTCAGATGAGGTGTCAAAATTGAAATTTGACACCGGTGTCAAAGGATCCTACCTCATATATATATATATATATATATATATATATATATATATATATGAGTTTATCGTTTCTTAAGTTGCTTGAGATAACTTTATATGTGTATTTTATATTTATCGGTTGTGGTATTTCAATACATTATTTTTATATTTGTTTATATTAGTCAAGGCTATTATTATCTTAATAGTTTAATTTTTAATTTGAATTTTATCTATTTATTTTTTAATAAATTTAAAACTACTATTTAAAAATATATTAAGAATAAAATGGAATTTCATCGCAGCCAATTCATCAAATGGACTGACAAATTATTAGCCCTAACTCCACTATTGTCCCTTGTTGAAGTCAACAAAAGCCCATCAAATATGTTGGATAATAATTCAAGTTGAGAGTTCATTGGGCCTACAATAATTTCGAAATAAAATTACAATTCCTTTCAAAATGATTTCAATTCTCAAGAGTATTAAAGAAAGTTACAAATATTATATAGTTAAAATTGTTATAACTTTAGAATATATGTAATTTTTTTATTTTAATATATTTATAAATTTTATTAATTTTTTCATAACTTAATTCGTAAGAGTTGTAACATTTTTGTTTTTAAAATGTTGTAAAACGACGCATGACTGGAGTCAGTCCTTTCAAATTAAGATGTGTATTTAGTTTACCAAAAAAAAAAAGATGTGTATTTATAATCATCCAAAAAAAAAAAGATGTGTATTTATAGATTTCAAAAATAAAACTATAGTTTAAAATCAAATTCAGAAAGAAGAACTTTATGTACTTCAATATTCATTTTTTGTTCCTTGGTTTACTCAATGAAGCTCGTGAGGTGTCATGCTCCATTCTCAATTTAGACAGGAACGAAGCGAGAGGTCCTATTGAAACAATGTGCACTTAACACGTGCAAAGGGTTAATTGCTACAAAATTTGGAGCTCATTGGATTAAGGAGTAAAAGTTGAGGATTTGGCGTATTTTTAACCCATTCGTTTAACAAGAATAATATTTCTCCAATTAATGCAGATAAATTATTTGCATTTACTCCAAAACGATATCGTTTTGGATTGAAAAATTAAATAATTATAATTATAAAGACTATAATAACTTTGAAATAAATTAAAACTACAAAAACACTGATTTTCGCCCAAAACGACGTCACATTAGATTTATTGCAGATAACTTATCTGCAATAACTGCAGAAAGAGCGAACTCTTCATTTAAATGATTACTTAAGTTTAATTCCAATTAATTGTGTATGTTTTACTTTTAGACCTTTTTTGGGGACATGGGAATGCAAGGACCCCAAAACAAAACAAAAACAACCTTTATATTATAGAAGATTAAGATTATAATTTTACAGGTAAGTTCCACTTGATAATGAAAGTCAAATATAGTTTTATCTTATGGGAAGGAGGAGTCAATCTCAAATCTGCTGCATGATAAAAATCTGATTTCCATTGCAGGATACAAAAGCATGTGGGCCATGCACTGGTCATTCCAATCCAGATATGTTTTGTTTGCAGTGAGTGTTTGTCAAGAAATAACATTTAAAAAGACAATGGAACAACCTGATCATAATCCTAAGTCTCAAAACATTTGACTAAAATATCAGTAAAAATTGAACATCTTGTCCACAATTCCCTCCCCCTTGACAATTCCCAATATTGAAGAGAATGCTAACTCTGCAGAACTATGTAGAATTTGTCTCTGAAAATTGACTTGAGGACTCGTTTTTTGCCACAAATGCTTCACCTTTTTTCAACCAGTTCACGTACTGCTCTTGTTCTCTTTTGTTTAGGTAGTGGAGGAGGAAATTGGTCAGGCTTACCCCAATGCCCTTGGCTATCAGGTATTCCTTGAGTGCATCTTGCAACCTACTATTTAACTCGCTTCACATGGATATAGACATGACAATGAGCAAGATAACTATTAGTAAAAAGACCCAAAGAATTTATGAACGGTTTACTAAAATTGGAAATGATTATATTAATAAAACCAGCTTATGTGTGCTGATCTGATGAAACCATAAAGGTAACAAGGAAATGCATGTCTGCTGATCTAGCCCATGCAACTTTCTAAAGAACATGAAGAAAACTGCTTCATTATAGCATATTGTTTAAATCCTTACAGGCTTGGTTCCATCAAGCTACAAGCATAATCAGTTCAGAAGATGAATAACCTAAGACTAGAGTATACAGTAACAGTAAAAATGACTTCAAAATATTGATAATTTACAATTTTCTGTAAAGAAAAAACTGTTGTTTGAATCCAACATGAATAAAGAACAACAGTTGAAGGCTTTACTTAGTTGCTTCTAATTTAGCAGCAAGAACTAGAGTCAAGATGAGTAATCCTCTAAAAATGTATTTCTAATAGCTACGCCTATAGGACTATTGCTTGCCGCATGCCTTCTAAAAACATATAAATTAGTATGTCCACACTCAAGGCACATAAAAGATGGATAGTTAGGCAGAGAAGTCTTAGTTATAAAGCCAAGTTATATATAAAAGATAGATGAACAGTTAGGCAAAAGACCAGGGAGATTAAGCCTTAAGGTGGTGTTTGGTTGGGAGCTTTTCAGCGGATATCTATGTTTCTGAAGTATGGCTTTTAGAAATACCATGTTTGTTTCAACGTATTTTCATCAAAAACCCATCTATCCAATTTGTATGGATTTATGAGAAACATAGATATCCGCACTGTTTAGAAACCCAATTTGAAGGTGGGATTTTTCAGAAAACCGGTTATCTGGCTTTTAATGCACTGTTGATTTCATAAAGTTACCTAATTTTTCCACTAAAGTTTTTCCCCACCAAACAACTTTTTTTTACATTTTTCTACCTATCTCACTTTATCTATCTTTCCAATCATTTCTCTATCTATTATATTTCCCTACTATTCCAAAAAAATTTCCTCAACCAAACGCCCCCTAAGGGTAAGGTGATTATATATGATGGTAACACTTGCGGCACAAATGAACTAGAAAAATGTTATATGTTGATACAATGTGCAAATAGACGGAAGAATGGAGAGAGGTTGAAATAATTTGAGATTCTAATTCTAAGTACACCAAATGATCAAAGCCAAGCAAATCAAATCTGTAAATAAATGGGAAACAAATATTTTAAGGCTTCCAATTGCCTTTACAATGTAAATGAAGCATGAACTAATACTTGGGAATCAGAATTGCTCAGTATTCACTGGATGCAATGGCAAAGCATAATTTTAAACTACCCTTTCAACAGTGGAAGTTATGTGCAGACACAGGATTACTTTCTCACTGAATTGCTTAAATCAGATTGCAGTTTTTTAAAATAGCACCATGTACTTAGGAATTTGAAAGCAAACCAACCACGTGATGGATAAATTATGGGTTTTATGTTTACCATATACATAATACAACTTCACTTTCCTACACACACATTAAAAAGATAAGGTCCACATGTTTTTCTTTCTCTTTCATCATTTCACTTTGTGGTTCTCTCTTTTGTTGTGTGTGTTGAAAACAAAGCTTAAGTTATGTAACATAACATTAATAAAATTCATGAACTATTAACATAAACAGTGACGTTAAAGCCAACTTTTGTTAAGAATAGATGACATAAGTATGCAGATTTTTTTTACTCCCCATTAAACCCCTACTAGCTAGGGTGGGGCCATGGCAATCTATCTAGGCAGATACTGTTTTCCTCACTGATAAAGGAACAACTTTATCACTTCTGCAGCTCGCCCTCTCATCAATATGCAGATTGAAAGAGAGAGAAAAATAGAGAAGTTGATAACACACAGGAATAAGAATATAAGAATATCATGAATAGGTTACCTGAATAAGGGGCCTCTGTGAATGGAAGGGGTCAGAGATGTAGGTGATCTGAGATAATAAGCATTTCTGATGTCAAATTCAGAGCCTTTATTCAGTTTCCCGTAAACTTGACAGTCAAATTGCAAGATGGAACTCAAGGCTGGTTTTTTTATACATACTTTCATATAAACATCCCTTGCAAAAATGAGGTCTTTTTCGTAGTTGGGAGGGCCCACGATAGATGAAATAACAACTTCTTCCCCTGAATCGCATTTTCTTCGCAAAACCACATCTTTTGAATGTGGCAAATCCGAGTCCACTACGAATTCACCTAAAGAACCTTTTTCAACATTCTGCAGCATCCCATGAAAATGCAAACATTGAGTATGGATGGTATCAAACGAAAACATCAATAACCTCGGGTTTCAAAAGAACCTGAAAGTGATTAGAAGCAAGCTCGAAATTAATCTCGGATTTCAAAAGCTTGAGCAATTCCAGATCTTGAACAGCTTTGAAACCCTTCCTCAGCTCTCTTAGCTGCGCCATCTTCTTTTTTTCCAACCCCCGAAGTCTCTGTTAGTCTTTGCACTTGCACCAGTGTATATTCTCTCTTCCCTTTTTTCTTTTTAAAAAAAATTATATATATATATATATTTAAAAAATAGAAAGGCTTAATTACAGTGTGATTTAATTTGCACAATTTTTTTAGGGTATTTTTAAAAGAGTGAGGTTGAGTTACTATTATGTTAATCTCAGAAAATACTAAATTCTGATGCGAAACCCGCGGGACTCATATCAGACCGAACAAAACTTCACCAAACACGGACGTCAAGTTTTGACGTGTCTATTCCTCATGTGTGTTATAAATCGTGTGTTTTGTCATACGTTAGTCGATGTGGGACTCACAATATGTAATCAGATGTGCGGGAGCCATTTCTTTTCTTCTTCTCTCAGCAATCTGCCATAGCTTGATACCCTAACCCCCCCCTTTTTTTGTGATTAAGATTGAGGATGGATGAAGAGTACGATGTGATCGTGTTGGGTACTGGTCTCAAGGTGTGCATTCTCAATGGTCTTCTCTCCGTCAATGGCCTCAAGTTAACCCTTTCACAGCCTCTCCCCTAAAACCCATTGACTTAATGCACTGCAAGTCCTCAAACGCAGACAACTTGAAAGTTTTGTGACGCTCGCACAGTATCGGTAGGTCCTCAAACTACACAGTACACAAGCAAACGACAATCATTCGCCAAAACGCAAAAGCAAAAGCGCAATGGATGAAATTGAAGATAAAATGAGCGAGAAGAGAATAATAACGAACTCGGATTCCGGTGGCCGTCGTCAGAGACTTTGATGTGCAACAAACAACCTTCAATTTCGTAGGAAAAGTAGGAAACATCGTCGAAAGTGGTCCTTCCATTCCAGCATTATTCAGGTATACTTCACATCTCATTGAATTATGGGTATTTGGGTAGTCATTTTTAAATGCAAATGCTCAGTTCCCGAAGATTATGTGTTAAATTTATACTTTACCTCTCTTTTTTAGTTCTAATAGCGTCAGTTTTTTTTTTAGTTGAGCACACTCAATGCTCGCCATGTGTTTGATGAAACAATTCAACTACAGCACATCTACAACACTCTTAGGTTTTGATTGGTTACTGAGGTTCTATGAATTTTTTTTATCTTTGGTTTTTCTTCACAAAATAGAGTTCGTCACTTAGTATCTATATTTTCAGTTACTTCTTGCTTCCTTAATCCATAGATAGTTCCATTTCCTCTGTCACATTTCTGTGGTTGTTCTCCACCAGTTCAATCTATATATAACTAGTAATATATTTATATTTTTTTAATATGTGAACAGTATATCCGGCTGAACCCGGTTGAACCAATAACCCAGTGACCTAGTACCTCGACCGAGTCGATGACCGGTCCGAGTTTTAAAACACTGATTTTATGTGTGCTCAAGCGAGAAGATTAATCCCTAATTTAAAATACCAAACATTTTGCCCCATTATTCAATCAAAATTTCGCTCTCCCGTCACCATCGTTGTTCCAAGTCGCACTCTCGCGGTTCACCATTGCACTCGGGGTTCAAATTTGATTCTTATTCTCTCTGTTCATCTATTCTCGGTCTGTTTCACTTTCTTTCTGAGTTTAATATATATATATATTTTTTTGCTTGGACAAATTTTTTTGAGTTCATATTACTGACCTTGGTGACTTTGTATGGATTAATGGCTGAGTTTATCTTTAATTCCAATTGTTATCATCTTGTTTCTTTGATGCTCATAGTGTAGTTTGTATATCAGATACGAATTTTTGACATGGTAATTAACAGTAGCTTGCGCTAGTTTAAGGTGAATATGAGTTGAAGTCCCATGTTGTAAGCTTACTGGTTAAACAAGTTTTATGTTGTCCGATTGTAAAGCCACATCTTGGAATTCTTATACTTTACTATGGGTTGGCTTATTCTTCTCTGAAGTAACAGAGATATATGCATTGCATTATTCTGACCTTTATTCAACAAGGCTAATTTCTACACTCTTCAATCATGTGTTGGTTCTCAATAGTTAGCTATTCTTTTCCAGGTTGTTGGAGAACGTAAAGGAGAAGTTTTTGGCAGCACCTCTTAGATCATCCAACAAGAGAAAATATCAGGTCCCTTTTTTTTATACTTTATATTATCTGATACTTTTGGCTGCTTCATTTTACAATAATGTTACTTTTTTATTTTATCTTGTTGACATTAAATTTTGTACAGGGATCTAACAATACATTTTTTTTCACAAATAGCTTTGGTTGTCCTGTTATATATCAGCCAATGGATATCTATATTTGATTGAGTTTGTATGTGCTATTCATTAAGTGTTTGAGTATTTCTTTCTTCAAAATACTGTGTTTTGTCTATTAGGAGCAAACTAAATTTGTTTGTGGTAAGTTGGTGCTAAAGTGATTGATTTTTTGGGCTGGTCTATATAATATCCGCAGTACCTGAATTTGCTGCATAATATCATTTGGTAACAGCCTAAATTTGGTCCTAATTGGAAAGTATTGTAGTACTGGGTATATTTATTGCACTTGGATCTTAGACATTTAACAAAGGTAACTAAATTCCCTAGGACAGACAGGTTGAACACATCTGGTATAATACTATAGCATGGTTTGGATCCGCCTCTTCTCTTTTTAGCTTGACCAGGTTTAGTCCCAATACACAGAATGGTACATTTCCCAGTTCTTTCTCGTCTTGAAAACACAAAATTGTTTTAAGGTTGATGTCACGGCATTTTGGCTTGTAGGATAAATTAGAAAGCAGGACAGATCACAACAAATGTGATAGGCTTAGTGATGACCTTTAACATGCTAGTTTTATACATAAAATCGAGTCCTTAAACAACTGACTTCCATCATGTTATAATGTTCTTGTTATGCTAATTGAAATATAAAAGAAAGGGACTTGCAGTTATTGGAAGATGCATCATAAAGTGGCCGATTTCTCTCTCCAACCTGTCTATTGTCTAATCATGAGTATATTTGTTCCTTCCCTGCCAATGCAGCTCCTCCTCCTAGAGTTAATAATTGAGTTGCATAGCACCATTCTCCCAAAAACTCTTCCCTACTTCATGCATGAATCTTAGCTGTCATATATCATCTGATCATTAATTTGTATTAGTCATTCTACGTTGTGGGGGAGAGCATCATTGAAGTTTGTATTTGACTATATAATTGGGATTGTAATGCCGTTATGCCGACTCTTATTTAACTCAATTTTCTTTTTTCACTAAGATGTGGATGATCAACATGTCTTGTGCTAGATATTAGGTCATTCATTCTGTGGACAAGGATAAGTTTTTGTTAAATCACAAGTTTGACCAATTTTCATGCAATATTGCTCACAGAAACTGTCCTCTTTGACTGAAAAGTTGGGATTTTTTTTGGCTAAATCACTTAAGCAGAAAAGAATTGGACAATAGGTCTGCTTATTGCCTTGGCTTTTTCATTCACCTTCCTAGTGAGTAAAGATTTAGGGAGTGATTGAATTCTCAAACTTAAGCTGTCCTTCCATGTTTTTGCCTTCTAAAAAAAAAAAAAGTAGTGGGTCTGCTGATACATGTGGTTAATAGAGTAAATTTTTCCTTTTCAAGTATTTGGTTCTTTCCATTGTAGAGCTAGTATATATAGAAACATCTTGAATTTAAGCTAGTCTGGCCTATACAAAATTCAACTTGTATTTACAAGTAATTTTCTTTTAAACACCGCTTGTGGTTTTAGCAGACAATTATATGTAAACTAATTCAAAATATGTTACCACTGAATCTTCTGTTGAGAAAGATAAAACCTAGCTAATACTGATAGGAGATTTTCACTATGATGTAAAGAAGTGTAGGCCAATGGTTTTAACCATACATGCTGGTGTTTCTTATATTGTGCATTGGTTTCAAGTATTTAGCCTTTCCTGGAACTTGTTCAAGATTCCTTTCTTTTCTTTACTTCATATGTAGTGTGGCATTATCTTTACTTCATATGTAGTGTGGCATTAATGTGTATTCCGTAGGTTCTGTTCCTAGATACAATTTAATACAACTATTGAAAAAAATTCAGGTTATCACAACAATCAAGATGCCACAAGACTGACCATAGATAAAAAGGGGCGGGTTCTAAAACCCAATATCATAGAATCAATATTTTGAGGTTTAACTCTAAGGGGCTGTCGATTTTATGATCATGGATTTCCAATCTGAAGCTCGGTTGGATTGTTGTGATTTGTGAATGACCATGGATTAGTAATTGGAAAGTTAGCATTTGGTGCCCTGCAACTTTTGTGCTATTAATTAAGGATTCATACTCAATCTGGCTTTGACTTATCATTTTATGAGAAATGCATATCCATATTGTTAGAACTTGTCCATCGAATATTCTTACTTGGTTTAGCACTAAAATAGCACCTATGGGGGATTATGTGATAGAGCTGTTTGAGGCTGTAAAGAATCAATTCAACCTAAAAGCTTAAGCTGGTGGGTGAGGGCTTTTTAATGGTTTATACTATTCTCTAACACGGCCCCTCACATGAGAGCCCACTGGGCTTGAAGGATGGACAATGCACAAGCCCACCTACCTGTGCTAAGAAAATTTCACAAGAGAAAGTGGGGGCGGTGAGGATCGAACCCGGGACACGAGGCTCTGATACCATGTAAAGAACCAATTCAACCCAAAAGCTTAAGCTGGTGGGTGAGGGCTTTTTAATGGTTTATACTATTATCTAACAGAGGCCACAAGCACAGAATATTAGCTACACAAATTTCAGTTTTTTTTTTTTTTCACAGCCTTGGAGACTGAAAAGATTAATTCTTACCCATTTATGTAGCTGGTGATTCACTACTCTGTTGTGAACTACTTGGCAGATTTGAGAGGTGCTAAACAGGTCCTATATATTTTTGAAGGATATTAAGTAGGTGATTCACATAATGTTTATGACCTGGTTCATCATAAACATATTAAGTAGGTGCTTCTTTCCATAGGTGCTTCTGTGAACAAAGCTGTTGTAAGTTGCAGGTCTTGTGCATGATTAATTCTTTCACCCCTTTTTATTCCCATGCTTACAATATGATAATAATTGGTAATACTATTGATAGTCTGAATGAGTCCTTGTCTCTACAAATCTCGAAGAGGATTTTTTTTCGTTTTTTGGACATTCTTTGTGTTTACCACTGTGTTGACAGCATAAGGTATAACGCACCGGGTGCACACAGGACTTTACAAGCTTGATATTAACCATTTTGTGGCTATAATTCAACCCAAGAGTTGAACACTTGTATGTAATATTGGATGACTTTTTGTAATATTTGATGAAGGTTGAATATGTGGTTGAGATGTAAGCACTAATGAGAGGAATGATGTCAAAAAGTATATTTTTTTGGGACAGTATGAACCTTCCTTAGGAAAACATGGAGGCGATGTATGTATTGTGGATTTTGTATCCTTAAAAGTAGTGCAAGTGAATTTTTGTTTCTGAAAATTAGATTGGTCATTTCATAGTATAGAACCAGGAACTTTTCCTTTTTTTAGGCTCATACTTAAGGGGATTTAGTGAGAGAACTAGGTGATTTAAAATAGGTATGATTGGTTTGATTAAGGCTCCACCCTTTTGAGTGGATTTTTGATTCAATCGAATTTGTTGAAAATGGGAAACCCAATTTGTCCCTAAGGTCCTATGTTCTACGAATGTAAATTATGATAGAAGTTTTATAATGGAAGTCCTTAAGGAGCTTCATAGACGAACTCTGACCATTTAAAGGTTCACTTCAACTGAAATTCTGTTTTATTTTGATTAAAAGTTAATTTGGATGATTAAAATGAAAGGAGTTTACTTCTTAAAAGAATTTGAGGAGCATAATAAAATTTCTAGCTAACTAGTAATAACATTGGATCTTGTATGAGTAAAATTACTATCCTTTGCATTTTGGGTTCATTAGCGCTTAAAGAGTGTGGTAGAGAAGGAAGATAACAACTAGTTCTACTTGGTTTATAATTATATTTACGTGGACTCTGCCACATGATATTCGGATGTTTTCCCATAAAACACGAGTCCTTACCTCCTTAAGATCCATTTGTTGTTCTCAATCTGGAATATAATTACAGAAAAAACATGAGTCTTATGCACCAAGAGTTATCACTAGAATGAAATTATTTTCATACAGAATTTTTTTGACGTCAACTTAGTTATATTGAGCGTCTTTAATCTATAATGGGTTCTGAAAAATGCATTTGGACTACACCAGTATTTCTGGAGTGTAAAAGAAAATTCTTGTTTTTAGTTATGCTTTGCATTATACACTCAAGTCATAATTTAATAGAGATTTTCGTGCCTGCATTGTTGAAATTTCTTTTCCATAAAAAAAAATAAAAATAAAAATTCTGTGAATTTATACCTTGATGATTACCGCTATTTGTCTATGTCGTGAACTCCTTGAATTCTTTTACTGCTCAAAATCGTAATGTGTAACTGGCCAGGTCAACAAGGACGTTACAAGACCTTTGCCAACAACTGATTTTTGGTTTTGGTCCTCCTATCAATTGGTTGTTATTTTAAATTGCAGCTTTTTGTTCTATGGAAGGCAAGGTATGGGGATGTTCTTCGAGTGAAAATAGTGATGATGAGGTCTATTTGCAAAATGCAAGTGATGAAGAGGAGCTTCACTTTTCATCTAGTTCCATGCCCAAGTTGCAGTTCAGGTCAAGTATTTTTTACAATGCAAATTAGTTAGTTACTAGTGAAAATATTTCTGCTTCCCCTGCTTTTTTATGGTTTATGAAGTGAAGTTTTGCATTTCATTTACCAGGCACGTGAAATCCAAAGGCAGTTGGAATGAAGAGATGGGAATGGCAGAAGTCATTGAAAAGAATGGAAAAATGTGGGTAACAACTGGAGTAGTTCGAAGTGGCAAGATTTATTCTTCAATTGAGGAGACTTTGTAGGTGATATGCCATCTTTTTATATATACCCTCTGTTGTGACATTTAGAAGTAGGGAAGAGTAACATAATTCTTAAAGCCTTAGCTTTCTGTGAATAATAAATTATTTAGTTAGGTGATACACATGTTTGTGTGAGAAAAAGTATATGATGAGATTTTGTGATGCGTTATAAGAGAAATTACTCAAATTAAATTAGAAAAAGGTATTTGCTATGTGTGTGTGTTTTGCTAAGATTGAATGTTTTGAAAACTTCTTGTGCTTATGTAAAGTCTGATTTGGCAGGTATCTAATGGAACTAGGAGCCTTACATCTCTTAGATAATGGTGATAGAAGCATATCTCTAATAGAAATGTACGTAAAGGTTGCTAGCAGGAAGAGTGGATGTTGTTGGGAGCTGTTTGAGGTTTACAGACAGCTCAAGTCTCTCGGCTACATAGTTGGGCGGCATGGTGTTGCTTGGAGTTTGAAGAGTATCAAAAGCTCCCATAAATCTGGTACTCTTGAAGGCACAGAAGAAAGCAAACAAGTAGAAGACATGGGTACCAAAGTCGAGCTTTCTATCAACAAGTTATTCAGTGAGTTGCAGATTAATGATTTGAGGCCAGATTTTGAGGTTTATCTTCCAAACAGCAGGTTTAGAAAGTCTTCTCCAGGTGATCCGAGTTTTCTGCTGTACTTGTCTAGGTAATTATTACTTCTCTGATTGTATCTGTATGATTATATTAGATTCAGGAATTTAATCAGTAAGTGATCTTGATACTGTTATCCAATTATTTGTTACAGTAAATACTAAGAATTGATAAAGACTGTTGTATGTTCTCTGATAGGATTTTAAGCTAATGGCCTATAAATTTCTTACTAAGATAGGAAAATGCAAATTTATCTCTGAGCTGTTGTAAGTTAAATGCGCTATGAAGCGTCCATGAGAAATTGATAGGCATTTTGGAGGAATAGCTTTGGTTCCTGGGGATACAAGAGTGATGCACTAGCTAATAAAGTTATTTATCTATTAGGACCACATAAGCACACAGTATGTTTAATTTCAAAAATTGAACTAAAAAACCACACTGATTAATTGGTCCTTACGAATTAATAACTCTGCAAATTTGTCCTTAGCTCTAATTTTCCGTTATGTTTTTCTTCCTTTTTTTTTTTCTGGTTTTGGAAATCTATTTAATCAGTTATAACATGTATCATCTGTTAGGGGGCATCCACCATCTAGAGCAGAAATTGAAGCCCTTGAGAGACAGTGCGGTGGCATTCCTTTGAAAATCTGCCTGGTCACAGAGGGAAGGGTCAGTTTCTTTTCCTTTGACAAGGTGGAACTTCCTGTTCTACCCTGAACTTTTGGTACCAATCCTACCTTTCCACTCTGGGCTGAGGGGGAAAGAAAGCTAAGGATTGTAACGAGAGAACGGGATGTAGTAACTTTAGGATCCAATGATGTACAAGAAAGCTGCAGAAGCCGTGGTTAAGAAAAAACCTTGTACTGCAAATGGGCTCAGTGATTACAACAGGAGCTTGATTTTGGTCGAACTGATCATGATTCTATCTGATGCTGTTGGACATTATTGTTGACCATAACAAAGAAACTGAAGGCGAGGGCTTAACAATAACATGCCTGGATTTATAATGTTATAGTGACAAATAGGTTATTGCATATGTCATTCGATCTAATTATTTTTTATGTTAATTTCGTAGACAGTCTGATTTGCTTTCTATACAGTGGTGTTAGAAGATCCAAATTCTATTATCTCTTATGTTCTTTTTTGGTTTGTTATGTACCCTTTGCAAAAGAAATTGGTAAAAAATAAATGAATTAGGTGAGCAATTTCGAAATTTGCATTTTGCAATTATATTATCCGTACATAACCATACAGTACGCAAAAAATAAACTAATTTTGTGATAAAAAAAAAAAAAAAAACATCTGGTCAGAATTTATTGCAAAATAATATTGACACTTTGCTGATTAATGTGCTGATCCCTCGATCGGGATTCTGTTGTAGTTTTTTTTTTGGTAAATTTCTGTTGTGGTTTTATATAAACACTTCATGAACAAACCTTTGCTTTCCCTGAAACTAGAGTACGACATCAGATTTTTTTTCAAAAAGGTCAAATTACTTTCTAGTTTCCTATAATTTGATTAAATTTTCAAATAGGTTTTTATAGCTTTTAATAGGGTCCTTATACTTTTAAATAAATAGGTCATTAGTGGACCTTTACAATCATTTACAAACTATTTTATATTGCTGTTATGGGTTTTAGGGACATTATTGTAAAATTTTATAAGAAAATAGAGATTGAATTGAAAATTTGGTCAACTTACAGGAATTTTTAATTTTTTTCATAAATATAAAGATCTCATTAAAATTTTTATGAATATAAGGATTTTGTTAAAAAAATTTAAATGATAAGGACATGAATTTAAAAAAAATTATAGATACTTACATGGCAATTAGCTAGAAAAAACTAGACTAGGACACAGACACACAGTTGTGTGAATGAAAAAAAAAAATGTCTATATATATTTACAAGATTAATCTTTGGAAGAAATTCTAAAAGTAAGATGGCGACAATGGTAGGAAGGGGAAATTAATTCGCTGCCCCCTCCCCCGGGGTGCATTAGTTCCGAAACACTACAGTCTACATATTTATTTGTAGGAAGGAAAAACAAATACTGAAAATAATAATAATCTAAGCGTAAAACATGCTAAATATATTTTATATAAAGTTTAATTTGTTCTATATATTAATTTTTAGAATCCTTATTCTAATATATAATGACAAAATTTTGTTTTAGTATCTAGTGTTTTACATTATATATTCTTAAATAAAAAATAATCGAAGTTATAATTAAGAAAGATATAGCATCCTTAAGAAAGATATAGCATCCTTAATTATGATATACAAAATAATCGAAATATCTTCTCCTTAATTATGATATAATAACTTACACATTATGGAAAGATATAACTTCCTCTTTGTACGCATCATGCAGAGATATAACCTCCTCTCTCTATTTACATTTGAATTTCTAGAATTTGGTGTGAAATTTCAAAGTTTAATATTAGTGTTAAAGGATCCTATTTAGGGATATAAATAGGCTAGGCTAGGTTAGACTTTGACTTAAATAAGTCAGGTCTGTATAAAAAAAATTAGGTTTAGTCTGGCCTGTGTAAGCCCAAATTAAAAATCTGATCTAACCTATATATAAAAAATAAAAGTATTGACCTAGACTTATTAGCCTATTTAAGCATATTAAACATTCCATAATAAAAAATAACAAATAATATTACTTTATTATTCAAAATTAATAAAATAATTATTTCATTTATTTTATTTAAAATAAATAATATCATATAGGCCGGTCTGTAGGCTTATATGTCCGGCATGTACAAAAAAGTCTTTAGTCTGCTCTTTAAATAATTTTTTTAAAAAACGTAGACATATTCTATTTGAATATTTATAATAGGTCAAGTCTGACCTAACATAGGCTAGGCCGTGGGCCCGTAGATCGGCCTAGCCCATTTACACTCTTTTTTTTTTTGGAGTTATCCAACCCTAATTATCTCTTTGAGACGAGTTGGCTCCCTCCGGTATCCCCACGAGCTTCGATTCTTTGAGCCGGCTATGGGACTAATCCGGAGTGCGGGGGAACAGAGATGGCTAAAGGTTCAGCCCTCTCCCCAAGAATGCATTCAGCGGGAATCGAACACATATCCAACCCCACTAACTCTTAATCCTATCCCAAGAATATATTATGTTGATGAAGATTTAATAAAAAGGAAAAAATATAATTAAGTCTAGACTTTTAAAATGCATATTACTTAAATTGTCTTAATATCTCTTTATTCTCTCGATTTTAATTATAAGAGAGAGCAACTATTATTTTTATTTTTATTTTGGTGGACAAGAGCAACTATTCTTATTCTCGGATTCCTTTGAATAAATCAAACAAATAAATTTTCACAAAAATATTCTTGTTTATTCACTTAATGTAGTGTGAAAAATGAAAATAATGCCATCATTGAGCTGTATTACCACCCACCCCCCGCTTGCCTATGTGAATGTGATTGTGATTTTGGACCAAACTATCTAGTGACGTGTGCAATGAAAGAGTCCAATTCCACACGAGAAACACCTCCAACATCCTTGGACTTGAGAATGGCATGTTTCATGTTCATTGCTCTCTGTCTCATCTCATCACCTTCCTTTGTTGCCATCAATCTCCTCACAGCATTCTCAACAACTGATGATGTCACCAACTCATCTCTGTGGGCCCAATCCTTCACAACCAAACCAACCTTTAGCACTTCTGTTACCAAAACTCTGTTCCTTGGTTGGTCTGAATGAATAGGCCATGCTGCTATTGGCACCCCCATAGTGATGCTTTCCATGCAAGAGTTCCATCCACAGTGACTCATAAACCCACCTGTTGAAGTGTGACTTAGAATTTCCAATTGGGGTGCCCAATCTCTAACAACTAACCCAACCCCTTCAACTCTCTCTTCAAACCCTTTTGGAAGAAGTTCAGCTCTTTTAGCTTCATCATCTCCATTAAAGACATCACCTTTATCAGCATCTCTCAGTACCCATATGAACTTTTGCTTGCTTTGTTCCAACCCAATTGCTAGCTGTTTGATTTGTTCCTCTGTGAATGCTGTTGTTGTCCCAAAAGACACATACAAAACAGACTTTGGCTCTTGTTTCTCAAGCCACTCCATGCTAAAGTGCTTACCTTTATAGTTTTCTTTATCAATGGATAAAGGGTTGAAAGGCCCCAAAGCCCAGTGAGTCTTGCTAGTAATCATCCCTTCTATTAATTCCATGTAAGGTCCTTCAATTGCCCTTGTTGTGTTGTATATGGTTCCATTGCTGAATTTGTGGAACTCGTATTGTGAAGTGATGAAATCTATGAATTGGGTTGTGAAGCAACCTTCAAGAGAAGGAACTTCAGGGATGTGGGAACTTTCAAACAAGGGTCTTCCCATTGCATCCCAAAAGTACAAGAACATGGTGAAAGCAGAGACACTATGGAAAGTGTAGTTCTCACAATTTGCAACGTGAATGGCATCTTGTACCACAGATGCCATAAGGGAGTCATGGATGACTACAACCCTTTTAGCTACAGATGAAAGGGATAGTAAAAGTGAAGCAACAGGTTCACGAAGATTAGAGGAGGCCTCAAAGGAAGGAAAAAGATGAGATGGGAATCTTGTTTCTGCATTGGGGTTTGGTGAAGGGGAAGCAAAAGGAGGAACTTTGAAGTCATGAATATGGATGTTTGAAATGGATTTTGGGTCCCAACCATGGGCTCTAACTATGGCTTGACGGTTGTGTGTGGCTGTGCCAACAAAATGGACAGGTATATTGTATTGCAAGATAAGGCGAGAAAGGTGGAGAAGCTGGTTGAGATGGCCTTGTGCTGGGAAAGGCACCACAACTACTACCACTTGGGTTTGATGAAAGACTCTGGTGCCATTGCTAAGGGTTTTTTTATGACTATTGTAATTAGAAGCCTTAGGTGAACTTTGGTAGCCAGAAGCCATGAAAGAAGAACAAGAACTTTAGCCCCTTAGGTAGGTAACTGTGTGTCTTGGATAATGCTAGGTAGGCAGGTAGGAATGTTCGGTATTTATAGAAAGGAAATCAATGTTGCATGCCACTTTAGTTACACTTCTTAATGCATATCCTTGTGTTAAAAAAATCACTCCATTCCTCTCTTAAATTTCGACCAAGGAGGATAGAGATCGGAAATATTTTCTGTGGTTTACCATCATCCAATAATTTAGTTTTCTCTCTCACAAGAGTCACAACATTAAATTTTTCTTCCTCTTTTTATCTATGTTATTTTTTTTTTCTCTATTTTCATCCTTTCATTTACATTAAGGGACCATTCAAAAAATAGTAGTCTCAGAACATAATAAATGCTCTCATAGAGATGAGGGCAATTTTTATATGTAACTTTATTTTATTTTTTTTGTATATAACTTTTATCTTTACATATTTGCTAAAAAATTATTTCATGGATTTCGATGCATGACCTTTTAGCCCCAAAAAAAAAAAAACAGATGTAATATACGCTTTTCTTATTTTATTACTTAAAAAAGAAGAAATATAATTATGCTAATAAATGTTATTGTTTATAGAATTGATCTATATGCATGAGATAAGTGTTCAAATCAAAGAAGAGGTACCCATAACTGTCAAGTTGTGTTAACCAATATGTATAACAGATGTTATAATAGTGATAACGTTGGCACGAAAGCTAAGTTTTCGTATCTGAGTCATCCTTCAAGTGGGTCTAAAAATCGGCTGCATGTGTTCAAGGAGTGAATTCTTAGGATTAAAAAATTTCTGGGTCGATTTCTAGGGAAAATAATTTGAGGTAAGTGGCACAAAACTTTTATGCTCTACATCTCTTCCAACAGGATGTGAACACCCCTAAAAAAAATTGTGCGCCCGGTTCAGGTTTTTTTTTTTTTTATAAATTCAAGGGTTCTAGTTTTTGTTTTTCAATTTAAACAATTATGTTTTATAATAAAATGACACTATTTTTATCGTTGGCATTTTGTGGAGTTGTTTGAAAACTACAAACAATCCAAATCCATCTCAAGTGGTTGTATGCAGTTGTATGTCTAAGAGAAACCCCACCTCGATGTATGAAATGTACATATTGATGTTTGTTTCCTTTTCTCCCTTGATATTGAATCACATGGAAAGTTACCTTTACACATGTTCATGATATCCCCTCCATGTGCCTGACAACAACAAAATTGATTTCATTTTCACAACTTTTGGTAAAAAAGATTGGTGACTTTGAAACTATGTAAGGTAATATCAGTGAATTAACAAAATTTCATTTCTTGAATCTTTTATTTGGAGTGAAAAAGAAAAATCTAAATCTCATATATGATAAAACTATAAATCATTAAGTGCACAATCAAGTATTTGGCAAATGGCAACATCAATTTTGTCGATATAATTTAGTTGTTGAAGAGATATAATATAAAAAGTATTGATGGGTTTTTACTTAACATTTTAAGCGTTTGGGCATGAATGATTTGTTTATCATGACATCAAAGTCTCCATTATCATGTGATCACGGGTTCAATCATCATCACCTCCTATTTTCTAGTGGAATTAAGTCAGCAGAAGTAAAATTAAAAAAATTGACTTGTGCAATTCACGCTTTAACCTAAAGAGCTGATACGTGAGTGGATACATGTATTAGAGAGATATAATATAAAATTTATTGGTGAACCTTCACTTAATCACTTAAGATTTTGGGTTAAATGAATTATTTATCATTACTTAACAGAATATTATTATAATAACTCAATTGCAGTGCATAAATAATTAAATAAAATGATAATCACATGAATATAAGCAACGAAATGCAAAGATTTAAAGTGAACCTGAATTAGTTCTCTAAAGAGGTCTTTGTACGTACACCTTGAGTTGTTAATGAAATTATCAACTACGAAATACAAGATAAAGGCGTAAACAATCTAAATTGTAGACCAAGGAAAATTGGGAAACATCAAATATCTATTAGAAGTTATGAAAAGAAATAAAAGTTGGTATATATATAGAGAGTTAAAATCTCTTGCAACATAACCAATACCTCTTATCTACAGACTTTGGTGGTGTATATATTATTCTGTATTATACCTTAACGTGTTATTATTTCATATCATTTATTTTATTTTATTTCATTTATTGCACTTAATTCTTAATAATTTCAGTATTGTCATGTTTCTCATGTTTTATCATACGAATACTTTTCACATGTGCAAATTTCATAAAACGTTTTTAACCACGACACCCACCGGATATTCTTCATCAAACTGGATTAGTTAAATAATTAATGAATTGATATAAAAAATTAAAAATATTATTTGATATATTTTATTAAATATTGATAAATACTTTTAAGTTTTAATGTATAAAATATTTTATTTTTTATTTGAAATATTTAATTATATTCTTCTTCTTTTTTTGGTAAGCAATTATATTAACAGAAGTTGCTGTCATTCGCAGCTTGATGATATATCAAATTGGGTCTATTATATAGACCAAGATTTACAATTGGTTACATCAGGAAATCAGCTAAACTTAAGGAACAGAAAGCATAAATCAAGCTAATCTATTTACATCAGGAAATCAGCTAAACTTAAGGAACAGAAAGCATAAATCAAGCTAATCTATTTACATCAGGAAATCAGCTAAAACTAAGGAACAGAAAGCATAAATCAAGCTAATCTATTTTAATATACAAGGTAACAAACCGTGATAGTTACAATCAGGATCCTAACAAATTAATGCTACTCTAATACTCCCCCTCAAGGTGGAGCATGGAGGGAGGAGATGCCCAACTTGGAAGTCAAAAAATCGAATTGTTTGGATCCAAGTGCTTTGGTCATAATATCTGCGGGTTGAGAACTAGTGGGGATATGTTGAGTAGAAATAGTCTTGCTGAGAAGATAGTCCCGAACAAAATGGCAATCTAACTCGATATGCTTGGTACGCTCATGGAACACTGGATTAGAAGCAATATGAATAGCAGACTGACTGTCACAAAACAGTTGCATAGGGGCTGCATGAGGAATATCAAGAGAGCTGAGAAAAGACTTTAACCAAATAAGCTCAGAAGTCGCAGCTGCCATGGCACGGTATTCAGCTTCAGCAGAGGAGCGGGATATTGTGTTTTGCTTCTTGGTTTTCCAAGAAATAGGAGAATGTCCAAGAGTAACAAAATAACCAGTGACTGATTTTCGAGTCAAGGGACAACTAGCCCAATCCGAATCACAATAGGCACGAAGAAGAAGATCACTGTCAGATCGAAGAAGGAGTCCTTGGCCAGGATTGGACTTAATGTACCGAAGAACACGAATAGCCGCATCGTAATGTATCTGCATAGGATGCTGCAAAAACTGAGAAAGTGTGTGAACTGCATAACTAAGTTCTGGTCGTGTAATCGTGAGATATACAAGACGGCCAACAATACGTCTATAACGTTTAGGATCATCAAACGGAGGTCCTTCAGCAAGAGCAAGCTTGTGATTGGGATCCATAGGATAAGCAACCGGTTTACAACTTTGAAGTCCACATTCCTTAAGAATATCCAAAGCAAATTTGCGTTGAGTAAGAAACAAACCGGTCTTGCTTCGAGCAAATTCAATGCCAAGAAAATACTTGAGGGGACCAAGATCTTTGATTTTAAACCAGGTTTGTAAATGAGCTTTGACACGGTCACAGAGAGAAGGATCACTACCTGCCAACAAAATATCATCTACATAGACAAGTATAGCAACATAATGGGAACCAGTCGAGTAAGTGAACAACGTATAATCAGCACGAGACTGAACAAAGCCGAAACTGAGGAGAGAACTACGAAGCTTAGCAAACCAATTTCGTGGGGATTGCTTGAGACCATAAAGTGAACGTTGAAGCTTACAGGCGTGACCAGACTTGGTTTGGGAGAAACCGGGAGGAAAACGCATAAAGACTTCTTCATCCAAATCGCCATGGAGAAAGGCATTTTGAACATCCAGCTGAAAAATGCTCCATTTTCGAGCTACAGCTACAGATAAAAATGTACGCACACTTGTCATTTTAGCCACCGGTGCAAAAGTCTCAGTGTAATCTTCTCCTTCGATCTGATTGTTCCCAGCAATAACCAGACGCGCTTTATAGCGTTCAATGGTTCCATCAGAATTGTACTTGATGCGGTACACCCACTTACATGGAATAGCTTTCTTACCAGAAGGGAGAGGTTGAATTTGCCAAGTATGATTGGCTTCCAATGCATCAATTTCGGCTTGCATGGCTTTCTGCCAATGAGGATATTGCATAGCCTCTTTAAATGATTTGGGTTCCAGGTTACTATCCACGGCGGCAAGAAAAATCTGATGGTGCGAAGAAAATAATGCATTAGAAACATAATGATCAAATTGCTGTCATTCGCAGCTTGATGATATATCAAATTGGGTCTATTATATAGACCAAGATTTACAATTGGTTACATCAGGAAATCAGCTAAACTTAAGGAACAGAAAGCATAAATCAAGCTAATCTATTTACATCAGGAAATCAGCTAAACTTAAGGAACAGAAAGCATAAATCAAGCTAATCTATTTACATCAGGAAATCAGCTAAAACTAAGGAACAGAAAGCATAAATCAAGCTAATCTATTTTAATATACAAGGTAACAAACCGTGATAGTTACAATCAGGATCCTAACAAATTAATGCTACTCTAATATATATTCTTTAACTAATGAGTAATATATAACACTTATTCGCAAAAGAATCAAAGGAAAAATTTAATTTTCTATCACTATAGATAAAAGAGTTTTGTTTTTATGATTATCTAATCTAAGTATCTAACACATTAATTTGACTTTTATGGTGATTATTATTTAGTCAGGTTTTTATAATGATATGCCAAGATAAATAATAAATTATAATTAAAATCTTAGAATAAAAAAAAAAGGTTGTATGTATACTTTAAACTTGAGTGTTTTTTTTTAGAGATTCATATTTA